TTAAGCCACGCAAAAGGCACATTTTCAGGATTTAACTTCTTATTGAACTTGCGGAGAATCTGAAAAGTATCTGATAAATGTTGGATGTGATCTCCCACCTGTCCCGACTTGACTAGCATGTCATCGATATAGACTTCCATAGTCTTTCCCAGGTGTTCTTAAAACATTTTTGTTACCAATATCTGGTACGTGGCTCCAGCATTTTTTAGTCCGAAAGGCATGACTTTATAACAGTAAGTCCCCCTGTCTGTGATAAAGGAAGTTTTTTCCTCATCTAAAGGATCCATCTTTATCTATTTATAACCTGAATATGCATTTAAAAAACTCAACAACTCATGTCCTGCAGTAGAATCAATTAGTTGTTCTATGTGCGGTAAAGGGAATGAAACTTTAGGACAAGCTTTATTTAAGTCAGTATAATCTACACAAACTCGCCATTTCCCATTCTTCTTTGGTACTACTACAGTATTAGCTAACCAGTTAGGGTATTTTACCTCTCGTATTGACCCAATTTTTTAAAGTTTTTGCACCTCATCCCGGATCACCTGATTTTTAAAGGATCCTTGCTTCCTTTTCTTCTGTTTGACAGGTGGATACGATGGATCTTCATTCATCTTGTGGGTCATCACCTCCGGTGGTATACCGGTCAAATCTGAATGCGACCAAGCAAAGCAATCTGCATTAGCTTGTAGATATTTGACAAGTTTACCTTTCATTCCCGGGCTTGGCTTCATTCCAATATAAACTTTTCTATCTGGCTGGTGTTTGGAAAGTGTGATAGCCTTGAGTTCTTAAGTGTTATTTTGATGTTTTCATTCTCTTCTGGCTCTTGAATGACATCCGGTATTGAATCTAGTCTGTCTGTCCATCTTCAATTGAGGTTTGTGTTGTTGTGTCCTCAACCGAATTCTGTAGTTGCTATTTCTTATATGCATAATCGTTCGCTATACTCAAATCTGCAACTGAATTGATACTTTTAGAAGCTTGCTGATCTCCACAGATTTGTTGAATCCCCCATTGTGAAGGAACCTTAATAACTTGATGTAGATGGTACAACATCCATATCATGAATCCAAGGCCTACCAAGAATCATGTTATTAGCCATGTCCGTATCTATCACCTGAAATTTCGTATCCTTGACAACTCCTTCTGCAAATGTGGTAAGCACTATTTCCCCTTTTGTGACAAAACTTGAGTTATCGAATCTAGATATGGTACGTACTTTAGGCACCATCTTGTCATTAGCTTGCATCTCGTTTACCACCCTCAGAAGAATGATATTTACGGAGCTACCTAGATCAATCAAAAATTGTTTCACATTAGTATCATGTACAAGTAAAGATATTACCAATGCATCATTGTAAGGGATAATCACGCCATCCGCATCTGCATCATCAAACGTTATATTGTCTTCTTCCAAAACTTGGCGAACTCGCTTCTCATGGGTAACTGTGACTTTTGATGTCTTTTTTGCAGTCGTGTATGTCACACCATTGACCTCTTCTCCCCCGCTTATCACATTAACCGTCCTTTTTGGTGATGGAGGTTTTGGAGGATCTTGTCTATTCTTCATATATGATTGCTTACCTTTCTCACTGAACAAGTCAGTTAAATAACCTTGTTTTAACAAATGCTCTACTTCACCTTGTAACAATCTGCAATCTGTTATTTTATGGCCTTGGTCATTATGAAACTCGCACCAGAAATCTGGATTTCTTCTGCTAGGGTTCGATCTCATTTCTTTTGGCCACCGTACCTTATCTATCATACTTCTTAAAATAGATACCATCTCAGAAGTACTAATATTGAAACTGTAATCACCAATCTTCACATTTGAATGAGCATTACTATCTCGTGCATCTCGTTCTTTTCCGAACTTGGATGACGAACCTGCGTCTCTATCCCTTGATTTAGGACCATACCTTGGGTTTTCCTGTTTAGAGCATGAATTTCATCCTGCCGGTCCCATGTAAGGTTCGTACATGTTCTTACCGGATGTTTTTTTTGGATTCTGGTCATCTCGAACTTGTTCTTTCATCACCCCTTGCTCGAGTGATCTTGTCTTCTTCTATCCGCAGCTTCGTGTTGTACCTATTGTACAAATCATTCCATGTTGTAGTAGGGAATTCTTGCAAGCTTTCCTTGAGTCTCCTCATGGCTTCTGAGCTTTTTTCATTTAAGTTACTTGCAAATGCCATGGCCGCCCAATTATCAGGGACACGCGGTAACATCATCCTTTCACGCTGAAATCTATCCACAAATTCCCTAAGCAGCTCTGTGTCTCCTTGTATTATTTTGAAGATGTCTTCCATCCTCTTCTCGACTTTTTGAGCTCCCGAATGTGCTTTTATAAATGAATCTACAAGCTCAGCAAAAGAATCAATAGTGTTTTCTAGTAAGAGAGAGTACCATGTTAGTGCTCCTTTCTTGAGCGTTTTGCCAAATTTTTTGACCAGCACTGACTAAGTTTCTTGCTTGGTTAAATCATTACCTTTTACACCAGTTATAAACGCAGTTACATGATCTCGTGGGTCGGTCGTTTCATCATACTTTGGAATGTCAGGCTTTTTAAACTTCTTTGGAATCAGCAAAGGTGCAGCACTTGGCTTCCATGGATATTGTGAATATTTATCAATATCCACTCCTTTAATCACGGGTGGCACGCCAGGTATTTGCTCTATTTGGTCATTCTGCTCCTTCAGGTGCTTCTGCAAAGTTAGCACTAAACTTTGTATATCAGAATTATTTGGTGTACCTGACCTTCCATCACGAGATTCATTGGGAATTCCCCCGCTTCCTGAATTAGCAAGTCCCAAGCGTGGGTTTTCTATAGTTGCAGTGTTGTTTGGAGGAGGAGTTGGTGGCGTAGTTTGCAATCCACTAACAAAAGCTTGAAGAGCGTTGTTGACGTGTTCCGCAATTAGTTGTTTTAATGCGCGTCCTCGGCAGTTTGCTCGTCCCTTTGCTGATCATTTTTATGTGATGTTGATCTTTGAGGTGTCCCCTCCCGGGACTGTCGAGGAGAATTTTGAGGTGAAGGGATTGGTGGAGTTCCTCCCTCCTGTTGGTTCTGTTGGTTCAATTGGTTGTTGCCGTTGGCAGTTGACCTGACTGTTTGACGAAAAAGTGAATTTGGAAAGTGAAAAGATTATCAGATTTCCGGTAACAGAACCAATTTGTTTAACCAAAAATATGTCTTTTGATCAAAGTCTAATTTTAGAAGAAAATGGGTTACTAATAACCAAGTTTTACTTCACTTTCACGACGATATCAAAGGAAAATAATAAGAATAACTAAGGGAATAATTGATTACAAAGTCAAAGTAGAGAATTTTGAGAAAGCAAAAAAGTAAATAGTGTATTTTAATATTTCGATCTGTCCTTATAAATAGAATTTTGTGCCCTTATATAGGAATATATAATAGTAACGGTTTTTTCCACATAATTTGGGTTAATTGTGGGCATTAATGATATTGATTGCCCAAATTCTTGGAGATCTATAACCGATATATCTATTGCTATAAATGGCTCGTATCCGTTCTGATTCCCCTTTCTTATTTCTCCTTGGTTCATGTATCTATCCTTCTTTATATTATGTATTCATGTTGTCCTCATTCATTTCTTGCCAACTGTTAGGCCCGGTACCGTCTCGTGGGTATTTCTTCCCGTGTCTTCTTTTTCCTAATAATTAAGAAAGCCACATGTCGCTGAATCATTGTCCCACGTGCCATGCCATGTCCGCTCTCCAATATTCCATGTGTAGCATTTTTTCACCACCAATACACCTTTGAGATCTTTGAGAGAGTTGGTGAGGTGTCCTATAAGCTTGCATTGCCACCTAGCTTATCATCAGTTCACCCAGTGTTCCATGTTTCCATGCTCCGGAAGGATCACGGTGATACCTCCCATGTATTAGATTTCAGCTCAGTCCAATTGGACAAGGATTTGACTTACGAGGAGGAGCCGGTGGCCATTCTAGCACGGCAAGTCCGAAAGTTGAGGTCTAAGAGTAATCCTTCTATTAGAGTACAGTGGAGTGGTCAGCCGATCAAGGCAGCTATGTAAAGTCCGAGTTCGATGTACGGAGTAGCTACCCCCACTTTTTCACAAGTCCAAGTACCTTTCTATGTCCGATCGAGGATGAATATTTATTTTAGATGTGGAGAATGTGATGATCCGATAGGTCATTTTGAGTTCTAGCCCTTATTTCCGTGTTCCGAGATCTCAATTAGCATCGTTGCTTCTCGATTTGCGTGTGTAGTCCGTATTTTTCCGGAAAGATTTTATGTGAAAAATTGAAGAAAACATGAATTTTAGCTTTAAAAATGACTTGAATTGATTACGGTTAATATTTTATGTAAGCGACCCAAATCGGTATTTTAACGATTCCGGTGGGTCCGTATCATGATTTTGGACTTGGTCGTATGCCCGAAATTGAATTCGGAAGTCCCTAACTTGATTTGACGTGATTTGTTAAAAACTAGTAACTTGAAGGTTTAAAGATTTTCTAGGTTTGACCGTAGGTTGACGTTATGGCTACCGGATTCAAATTCCAGTTCCGGAACTTGGTATAGGTCCATTTTATTATATAAAACTTGTCGCCGAAATTTGATGCAAAACGGGAATTAATTTGATAGGATTCGGACACTCGGTTGTAAATTTGGTAGTTCTTGAGTTTCTTTAAATATTTCATGCATTTTGATGTTCGATTCGTAGTTCTAGTTTTTATTTTGGTGTTTTGACCTCGCGAGCAAGTTCTTATGATTTTATTACACTGGTGTGCATGTTTGGTTTAGAGCCCGAGGGGCTCGGGTGAGTTTCAAACGCGTTTCAGATGAGTTTGGATGGTTGAAGTCAGCTGGTGTTCTTCCAGCTCTGATGTTCTGATGTAGATTTCGCATTTGCGACGCCGGGCTCGCATTTGCGAGCCTCGCTTTTGTGAACAAGAGTTCATATTTGTGAGCAGGGTGTGGGATTGGGTAACCTCGCATTTGCGAGGAAATGGTTCGCAATTGCGAACAGCACATGATTGCTTTTGCAATCACTTGGTCACATTTGCGATGCCTGGCAAAATAGAACTTTTTCGCAATTGCGAAGATATTGGCCGCATTTGCGAAGGCTGGTTATTCGCATTTGCGATCAATTTGTCGCATTTGCGACTTCTGTTCTTTTGAGACAGGTTTCGCATTTGTGAGCCTTGTCTCGCATTTGCGATGCTCCCAATTGCGGCATCTGCAGGTGGGTAAAAGAAGGAAAAATCGGGACTTAGCTTATTTTACACCATTTCTCAACCCTAAACACTCTAGAGGAGATTCTTCAAGAGACTTTTCTTCCAAAATTCATTGGTAAGTGACTTTAATTCATTTCTTTTCATGAGATTTCAACACCAAATTTAGGATTTCTATGGTAGAATTTTAGGATTTAGGTAGAATTTGGAAATTTTTGTAAAATTGGGATTTAGACCTCTAACTGAGGTTGAATTTTGAAATGAATCATATAACTAGGCTCGGGGGTGAATGGGTAATCGGATTTTGGTCCGAACCTCGGGTTTGACCAAGTGGACTCAAGGTTGAATTTTCTTGACTTGGTAAATAATGATCAAGATTGAACCCCTTTCATTAATGGGTAGCTTCTAAAGCCTATTTTGAATTATTTGAACTATATTTAGTTAGGTTTAATTAGTTTGGAGGCTAATTCTAGATGAAAATCCGCGGTTGAACATTGATTTGGTTGCGGAGTAAGGTAAGTGCCGTAGTTAACCTTGACTTGAGGAATTAGAACTTGTTGGTCTATTAGCTACGTCTTTTATGTATGGGGGGCAATGTATATGTGAGGTGACGAGTATCTATGTGTTGTCATTGGGTTAAAGCATGCCGGTGAAAATTGTTTGTTTGTATTAAATTGTTTTGTTACTCATGTTATCCATGCTTAGGTTAGATTATTACTTCTTTAAATTATTCGTTTCGTATTTATTGTTTATTTCAAGGATGTTGTATATTTGAAAGTTGAGTTTGATATCGTGGCACTATATTTGAAGTAAAATTGTTCCCGCCTTAATTATTATGATTCGGATTTGTATTGTTGTTTGGCGAGGAAGAGAGAGAAGCACGAAGGGTCACTACAAAAAACTAGTTTTAGCTACGAACGTCGTCGCTAATCTGTCGCTAAATCGTCCGTAGCTAGCAGAATTTCTTGATAATATGTCGTTAAAACGTCGTTAAATGAGATTAGCAACGGATTTTTCTGTTTAGCTACAGAATTTGTCCGTCGCTAAAATCAGATCTTTTAGTAGTGGGTGTTGCCATGCCTTATTTGAATTCATTATCTTATATTGAGAGATTTGAGAGTAAAAGCACGAAGGGTGATGCCATGCCGGTGAGTAAAAGCACGAAGGTTGATGCGGTGTCATTATATATTACATGGTGAGGGCGAGAGTAAAAGCACGAAGGGTGATGCCGTGCCATTCATTTTCATATCATTATTTTATCTGATTTTCGATTTTGCTGATTTACTTAGTTATATTGTTGCTTAATTCGGAAGATGTTATTTCGGGATATCGTACTTATCGTTTTTATGATATCCTCTCCTTTCCCATGTCCCCTCCCAGTTAATATTTTATCGTTCTTCTTGTTATTTTGCTGCTGTATATGTATTTGTACAGGGTTTTTACGTAACTGTCTTGTCATAGCCTCGTCACTACCTGGTCGAGGTAGGCTCGACACTTACGAAGTACATTGGGTCGGTTGTACTCATACTACACTTCTGCACTTCTTGTGTTGATACTGGTATTGGTCCCAGCGGTGCTTAGAGGTGCGTCGGCTCGGATCACTTTCATACGAAGACTCGAGGTAGATCTGCTGGCGTTCGCAGACCTTGAAGTCCCCTTCCATTTCCTACCTGTACTATTTATCTTTTTGGAATAATTGTATTTATTTCAGACTATGTTTGTAGTCTTCTAGTTGCTCATGTACTCGTGACTACGGATTTCTGGGAGTAGTTAGTGTCACGTTGTTTATATTCGCATTGTGTTAGATTTGGAGTCTATTTTTCGTTTACTGCCATTTCTTGAGTTAATTGCTAAAAATTGGTTAATTGCTTTATTAACGTCGACTTGCCTAGCAAGTGCGCCACCACGGTCCCGAGGTTGGGAATTCCCGGTCATGACAAGATGTACACCATAAAATTGACATTGATTTTCTAGCCATCCTAAGTAAGACATATGTTGATTGAATTTCTCTACAGCTTCTACAAAATTCTATTTTCATGCGACAACAACTTCTTAACATGTACGTAACTTTAAAAAAGAGGAGACTACAATTTCTTAAATATAAGGCACAAAGTTTAAGACGGGTATCACTTGTAACCATAGCCAACATTGCTCATATTCATGTATAAAGTATGTGTTAAGCATAGTAGACACACCATAAATTAGTTTTGAGCTTACATTTTTCTTCATTAAAATTTGTGTAACTCATTGCAAGTTTATTCTAAGAATATCCATATCGCTTTAAAATATTTATACTAATTAGCATGGGATACACGTACAACGTACGTGTTCAAGAACTAGTATATATTTAAACACGTGGACATATAATTTGCTTCTGGTCTCCGTTTGTGTGGCCATGATGGATTAATTGTGGACTGATGTTAATTAACAAATGTATTCTTTATCGAGCTCTGGTGTTCTGTGGTCAATCATAGTTCTGTCGTTCGAAGAAAACCAAATGTCATCCATTTCTATGGTGTGAATTAAACTCAAGGTTGAAAAACAAAACTCGGTTGATATCTTACAAGTTGTTCACCAAACCACTTCCATCTCAAGTTTTGCATTGTGTATTACCCCTCTGTTTCAGTTTATTTGAACTTATTTCCTTTTTGGTTCGTTCCAAAAAGAATGACATATTTTTAAATTTGGTAACAATTTAGCTTAAACTTACAATTCCACCATTAATGAGAAGCTTTTATAACCACACAAATACTCTAAGTCCCTTTTTGACTTGTTTAGGACCACAAACTCCAAAAATCTTATTTTTTCTTATACTTCGTACCCAGTCAAACAGGTTCACATAAATTGGAACGAAAGGAATAATAAGGTTCTAAGATAAACCAGAAATTAGAATTTATTTATTTTTTAAATGAAAAGATAAAGTGGACTACGGGTAGCCCAACAACCTGGAGCAAGTGCTGCTTCATTTGGAGCACAAGTCAAGACCGTACCAACCCCACCAACCTCATCTCTATTTTCGATGTTTACTTCGGACTCGGAGACGATCTCTAGTCTTTTCTCGATAGAAAACATCAGCTGGTGATCATAGCTAAGCAAAAGACCTATGTAAATGCTCTACGTGGTTTTTTCGGATTTAAGTTGTAATATACATTAACCGTGTAATTATTTTTAAATATAACAATATATTTTAACCCATTATAGCATCTATTTAAGGTCTTTCACTATACTTTGCATGATCCTAACAGTAGCACTCTATATACGGATAATTTTCTTTTAAGTAGTAATCTATATTTCCACAAGACATGCACAACCAAAAAACAGGTGGTGTTTAGAATCTTCGAACTGGTACAATTATAGATGAGACAATTTTATTTATTAACTCTACATCTTCACAGGGAAGCCTTTCAAGTAATTAATACTACCTGAATTTTGATTAAAAATATAGATGAAGTAGGTAAATAATAAGAGGAAACTTCTATTTGTAGTAAAAGTTCGGGAACTTCAGGAACAAGGCAAAATTTCATAAAGGGTCCAAGAAGCCATTGACATTGACGTGATTGTCTGCATGCATAATCAAAAGCAAAACTCTTTCAGTCACCATTCCCTTCTTCTAAGTGATCTCCAGTTGTTAACCCCAGAGGCAAACTGCAATCAATTTACAGTCGTTGCATTTGCGTGATTGCGACTTATAATATATCTATATCTTATAATAGGAATAAGCTTATCAACTTAATTAATAATGTATTGTTCTTTTTCCAGCCCTCTATAAATAACAGAATCCCCCTTTATTACGTACTCAAGTCTGCCATTTGAAAGCTCTAATTTGAACACAAAGTGTTGGAAACTTTTAAACATGTTGTGTTCTCGTAGGGTATTTTCTTTACGTGTGATGTTATGGTTCTATGTTGTTCTACTGTGGCTTTGTGCATGCAAAGGGAAGACGCAGCTACCAAAGAACTTGAATATAAAAGCTGTTTTTGTGTTCGGAGATTCCATCGTTGATCAAGGAAATAATAACAATATAACAACGCTGATCAAATGTAATTTTCCACCGTACGGGAAAGACTTTATTGATGGAAAGCCAACTGGAAGGTTTACTAATGCCAAAACGCCAGCGGACTTGATAGGTATGTCCACTGAGTTTAACTTATATACACTGTTAATACAAGAATTTTTTACACGAGTCATCTTTACTCGTTACAGTAGATAGCTTGTCTTATTTTTAAGAATATTACAAATTTCATATTTTAAGGAGGCTTCATTATGTTAAGTTTGGTCATGTCATACGTTCTTCTTCTTCCTATACTCAAACATTATGTCTTTCTCTCGTATAACAACAGAGTGAAACTAAAACACGAGCGTCATAGGATTCAATATAATTGAAATTTTGGGCTAATTGTGCTGTCAGGAGTTGGCTGCAGAAAGTGAAATTCTAGACTAAATACTTTCCTTATAACTAGTTATCTGATGTATAGGAATATTAGTAAGCAGCTGTTTATAGAAGTACTAGTGATAAGTTGCTGTTGGAGTAGCTTGCTGGGGAAAGCCAAGCTTGATTTTAATTACCCAAAATAATAAAAAAAATCAATATAATTAACACCGTCTTATATATTAGTCATGGCCCGACCATTTTTACATTTGAATGTCTAAAATGTTGTTGTAACTTTGTTTAGACATAAACTCGAAAACGAATAATTCGAAAACATTCGTTTTCATCTTTTTTTTTTCCGTTTAAACATTCAGTATCTCTTATGCAATACTCAATATCCCTACAAAATGTTGCCACTTAAACTCCATACCAAATGCAAATATGCAATGCTTAAGCCTTAACAGGAAGACAGCTCATTTGAGAAACTTGATGTTATTGATTCTTTTGTTTCTTTATTGTTTTTCTTTGAGATTAAAGTTTTGACTTTATTAATTCTGATATTCACATCAGTGGAAGAACTGGGAATTAAAGAGCTAATGCCAGCTTATCTTGACCCCAAATTGCAAGCTGAAGATCTTAAAACTGGAGTAAGTTTTGCTTCAGGAGCTTGTGGATACGACCCTCAAACAGCTGCCATTGCGGTGTGTATTTTTCATTCCTTTTTTATATTTCATTTAAATGTCATCATTTTCTAACTGGTACGTATATTTTTATGGATTCAGTCAGTAATACCACTATCAACACAATTGAATCATTTTCAAGAATATGTTGGGAAGCTAAAGGGATTAGTTGGAGAAGAAGAAGCCAACACCATACTACACAGCAGCCTATACTTTGTGGTAGCCGGCAGCAATGACCTAGCTAACACATACTTCACCATCGGACTTCGCCAAAAACAGTATGATATTAACTCATATACTGATCTTATGGTGGATGGAGCTGCAGATTTTATCCAAGTATGTATATGGATATGTCTCTCTAGTGCAATTTATGGTTCTACAAACACAGATATTTTTTTCAACTATTTAAAATGCGAGATTTAGCCTATTAGATTATTGGGGACAGAATTTAAAGAGTGGCCTAACAAAAGGTCATACGGTACAAACAAAAAAGATCCTATAACATATATGGAACCTTATTACTAAAAATGTGCATAGTTTCTAATTTACCCGCCCTGTCCATATTTTTTCTACAATTATTATACCAATCATTAAATACTAATTAATAGTAGTTGAATCTTCCTAATTTGTCGAGTTAAGTTTGAGGAACAGAATATTCTAAAAAGATTTGGCGTAAATCAGATCAAATCATATTCTTCCAGATATTCCTATTTAGGCGCGCTACAATTATGGAAGTAAATATTCTTCCAGATATTTTCCACCATTGATAGCTATTAAAAAGCTTGAAAGTTTTGAATTCAAATTTGGGTTTTCAAAAATCAATATTTGTTTGGATTGGGTGTTGTTGAAAACAATCGGGAATATGATTTGGAGTTTATATCTCAATTTTGAGGGGTTTTGGTGAAGATTAGACTTGGTTTTGACTGAAATTCAGATTGTAACTCGAAGAAGAAGAAGAAGAAGAAGAAGACATATTGCAGAAATTGTAGATTATTTGTATTCTGATTGTAGATGCTTTATTTTCTGTTTTCACAAATAAAAAAACGGCTAAAACTTCTACAAATCTTCTGAAAAAACGTAATTATGTCAAAAATCACAATTATGCTACAATTGGATGGGAATTGGGATATAAAAATTCAATGTACCCAGTTTGTAGATAAATTGTAGATTATTTGTATTCTAATTGTAGGTGTTTTGTTTTCTGTTTTCACAAATCAAAAACGACTAAAACTTCTACAGATCTTCTGCGAAAAATGCAATTATGTCGAAAATGCCAATTATGCTACAATTGAAATGGGAACTGGGATATTAAAATTCAATGTATCAAGTTTGTAGATATTTTGTAGATAAATTGTAGATTATTTGTATTCTGATTGTAGATGCATTGTTTTCTGTTTTCACAAATCCAAAACGACTAAAACTTCTACAAAGTCTTATGCAAAAAACAGTCTACAATTTATCTATATTTTTTCTACAATTTATCTACAATTTCTGCAATATGTCTTCTTCTTCTTCTTCTTCTTCTTCTTCTTCTTCTTCTTCTTCTTCTTCTTCTTCTTCTTCTGAATTTCAGTCAAAACCAAGTCTAATCTTCACCAAAACCCCTCAAAATTGAGATATAAACTCCAAAACATATTCCCAATTATTTACAACAACACCCAATCAAAACAAATAATGATTTTTGAAAATCCAAATTTGAATTCAAAGCTTCAAAGCTTTTTAATGACTGTCAATGGTGGAATTGCTGCTCTCTTGTCTCTTTGAAGGTTTGTTCTTCTTCATTGAGAAAATTTGAAGCTGAAGGTAAATGTGTGTATGAACTTTGAAGATTTGACTTCAATTTTGATGAACTTTGTTGTTCTTCATTGATGAACTTCAACTGGAGTAAAATGGGGAACCAACTTTGTTAAAGGGTTTCTTCAATTTTCTGTGAATTTAGAGGGAGAATTTGGTTTCAGAAGATGGAAAATGGTAAAAAGAACGTGGGTATGGGTAAAACGTGGGTGGGACCGAGGGGCTAGGAGAGAGAAACGTACAGATTCCTTTAATTAAGGAGTAAAAAATGTACAATTAATTATACCCTTAATTAATTATGGTATAGAATTGGTAATTTGGTATAATAAGTGTAATTAAATTAAACCTTAAACATTAAGGATAATAAGGTTTCCTACGTGGTATAGGAATGTAAAAAATCAATTTTCAAGGGGTCCAATTTTGGGCACAGCCCATCTAAGTATTGGGCTGAATATATTGTCAAAATTGCCCCATAGGAAATTTGCCAACGTATTTTCCAAATATTTTTGTGCAAGTTACACATTTCATTAGTCGGCCAAAAAAAATTACATTTCGCTAGCCAAATATATATTATATTCATGTTATACATTAATATAAAAAACAATATATCTTGTCGACTTTTATTTTTGGGAGCCATACTGTATAGTTTTTTCTATTTTTTATTTGATAATTAAATAAATTATAAGAAATCAATTAAAACTTAATTAGAGTTCAATGAGTTGAGCTATCCTAATTTAGTTAACTTGAGTTAGCACATTAATTAACTATCATTGTTAATTTGATTTATTTGGAAGGAATTGTACAAGTTGGGAGCAAGAAAGATAGGGGTATTTGGGATTCCACCAGTTGGGTGCTTGCCATTCCAGAGAACAGTGAGTGGAGGAATATTTAGAATGTGTGTGGAGGAATACAATGAAGCTGCACTATTGGCCAACACTAAGTTATCAGCTGCCATTAATGATTCACTATCCAAGAAATTGCCTCAATCCAAGCTCGTTTTCATTGACCTCTATGATCCTATGCTTGATCTCATCATCAACCCTAAAAAATATGGTAAACTTTAATTTAATCTTTTCTAACTTGAATCGTTTTTTTTTGTTTGGAGTTTCTTCTTTATGGGTAGGGGTATAAGTGTTTAACTTTAAAATATAGGGGAGGAAAAGACCCCAATGATCCTTTATGTATAAGGCCAGGTTTAAGTTAGTCCTTTATATATTACCCTGGACAACCATCATCCTTTAAGTTTGCTGAAATTGGACACCTTCGGTCTAAGGCTCACTAAAATCCTTGTTAGGCTTTCATTTAACGGTAAAGTTCCATTCGTAACAGAATATATTAATAACAAGATGAGATCGTCACACCACCCAACCTTCACTATCGCCTTTTCCACCATTAAGTAAAAATATGTTCTCTTTCTCTTTTTTGCTACTTTTCATCTGTTTTCTTCCTTTGCGATTTCAGCCCCCCTCCATCATATCATATATCTGCATCAAGACTTTCCTTCCTCCTCTGCTAAGAAGTTCCTGTTTTCCTCTACTTCTTTTTCTATCCTTCAGCAGCAAAATCGTAGAGGTTAAATTAATTAAATTCTGTCACTACAGAAAAAATCCAAATTGAGTTGTTTAATATGCCTAAATCGAGTTGTTCATTGCGGAGGATAAATAATTATAATGAACCAAAAAATATTTTTGTATCTGAGAAAAAAAATTTGGCCAATAAAATGAATTTACAGCAATTTGAAAAGAATAAGCCATAAAACCAGTCACTTCGTCCATGGAGTTTCTTTCACATTACTAAAATTTTTAAGTTCATCCAATCACATGCAACATCCTTGATCCCCTTTCCGGTGAAAAGGTTTGGAAGTGAAGTTTATTTCCAAGGAGAACAAAAAGAAACATTTTAACTGGGCCTAACAATTTCCGTTAAGGAATAGAGTTGCCGTCACTGACTACCCTTTTTCTGTTAAAAAAAGGATTTTAGTGAGCCTTAGACCAAAGGTGTCCAACTTCGGCAAACTTAAAGGACTATTGCTGTCCAAGGTAATATATAAAGGACTAACTTAAACCTGGGCTTATACATAAGGGACCATTTGGGTCTTTTCCTCAATATAGGGCGTGTATCTGCAATTATAAGGGTATTCACTGTATTTACCAAAAAGATTATTATTATTATTATCTTTGTTCACCACTGAAACATGAAAGGTGTAAAATTAACGTGCTTCATTTATTAATTTATTTAAATTTTGGGTTTGACATTATCCAGTGTTAAGTGAAATTTGATGATGGTGTCTCAGGATTTGAAGTGGTAGAAAAAGGATGCTGTGGAACAGGAAACATAGAGGTGCTAATGCTATGCAAATACGGTGGGACATGTGAAGATGACACAAAATATTTGTTCTGGGATAGTTATCATCCCACTGAAAGAGGCTACAGGATCCTTGTTGATCAAATGATGAAAAAGTATATCAATAGTTTCACATAATCATGAATATCAGATTGCTTCATTACCGTCCTCTCATATCTGTATTTGATTGAAATATTTTTTATGTTCTTTACAGAGTGTGTTTGTATCCTGTACAAGTTTGAACCTTTTTTTTTCGTTTACACCTAGACATTTTGTTTTCTTGAGATTTTATGAGATTTGAAGAAATATCGAGTTTGTGCTTACTATATAGTGGATCTGATAGCACAATGCAAATTAGCATGGCCCAGTCTATTTTTAGAAATTGATATAACCTGTGATAGTGCACGACAGTTACCATTTTAGCTATGTTATCAATTAATGCTTATTATAAATATTTACTACTACTTGTTATTACCTTACAAGTTATCTGATTGTGTAAATAATTTTTTTTTTACCTTCAGGCTTCAGCTTATAGAACTTAAACTCCTCGAGTATAGACGGCAGTTTCTCATTATAGAGGGGTGTAGCTGCTGGCTAGTGGTGAGTGGCAACAATGAGACTAAAGTTAATTCTTTCCTCTCTATATGCAACATTACAAACATCTATCTCATTTTGTTTCTACGTCATCGGGTGAAGGTATTCTTCCATTGCCTTTACTGAGTATCAACATAAACAAAATTTTCTTTAAAAGGCAATTCGATGAGCCTGTGTAACTGGAAATTATTAGTATTCATTTTAAAATTTGTTATACGCGAGGGAAAAGGGGGAACGGAAAGGGGGAGAGGAATACTTAGTGGCGGATTTGAACCTCCACCTATTTGGTGGAAAGTTGTGCATTATAAAGTAAAATTGTTGGTTATACATTGAGAAATGATGATTCATATAGCCGACCCCAACTTGTTTAGGACCGAGGCTTAGTTGTTGTTGTTGTCGTTGTGGTGGTGGTGGTTATATATTGCTTGGGTTGGCTGAGATGTCAACAAGGTTCATTAGTTGCTGAAGTTAGACTTTGGTTGCAAAACAGAGATTTTGTTGCATTTCCGTGTAGGGCAAAGTGTGAGATTTAAGAACACCTAATTTGTCTTTAAAGGAAAGTCGTCTGGTAGTGGAATGAAAATGGAGCTGAATAGAGTGGAATGAATATATAGGATTCATATAACCGACAATTAGCTGATTGATCGATTGATCTGTTGTGTCAAGGTTTAAAATTGAACTTTGTCCCAAGTTCTCTCTCTCTCTCTCTCCTTACCTCTATTGGTGAGGCAAGCACAAAAATTGTCAGTTCAATTCATGCTAATCTTTATCAGCAGATGTGTAACTGAAATTCATAGTTTGTTAAGTTCGTAACTCAGTAGTATAAAGACATATGGACCAAGTACAGAAAAGGACTGATTTTGCTCGATTTTGCAGGTGTTGAATTAAGTCATTCGAAAAATTTGTTCAATTTTGCAGCGGTGAAGACTGTTTTGTCCTTGCACAACATTCTCAAATATCGCATCAGTAGCCAATGAGAAGCCAATATGTCAGGAAACTTAATACTCTCTCTTTTTCCTTGATCAGTATTCAGTTTATTATCATGTCAAACTGAATATAAGTCCAAATAACGGGAACTTAATCTTTTTATATTTGCAGCTTCTGCAGAAGCTTGTAATGAACTGTTGACTTATTCTTTAATGTATGCTGTTGCTATACATGTTGTATCAGAAAGAAACTCTGCAGAGTGTTCAACATTAAGGTTTGCCTCTTGATCATGTCACATCATTTCTGAGGTGTGATAAACATGTTGATATCAGTAATCGCTAGAAAGTCATATTATTCGTGCAGTATAGCATGAGTAGTAAAATCTACATAAATAATAGTTGACATTTAGCCATGGTAGATATAAGATATGTATTTTAGCAATGAAAAAAGCATGCTAGAAAATATTTGATGAGCTATTCATGCAACTGCTGAAGTGTTAGCAAGCAATCTAGTTTTGATCTCTTTCACCTGACTCTGTACACCTAAGTTTCTCCACGTAGCACTAACGTTGTACTCTGCATTTAACACCGGAGCAGCATCTGCACTTAGAATACTTGTAATGCATGATTTATCGGAGCATTGCAGAGGAGCCCGGCATCATAACTATGCATTAGCTTATGCAAGAATCTCAAAAATCTGTACTTCTCTTTTTGAATCTATCATTTCTTATATTAAAAGTGTGCTCAAATTGTAGAATATTTATATCCCCTGTCCAGCCTTGGGCTATACATGCACTTTCTGAGATCTGGGGTATAAGCTTGACCATTTTAAGTTTTTCAGTAAATGTTCTAGCTAATGCCTAACATTTCAACTTAAGTCCAACTTCCATTGTTCTTTTTCTGTTATAATTCCAACTAAAGGTAGTTATTTGCTATTCGTTACTTTTGTCATATGCTTTTTCAGGGAGGCTTCGTCGATGACTTTTCTTCATATTTTCTTGCACTAGTCCAAGAGCGCTGAGAGGTACAGATTAGGAGATTTTCAGGTGCCTCTTCTTTACCTATTAGTTAGATTTTCTTAATGTGAAGTAAAGAGCTTCAAGAAGAATCCTATTGAGCTAATGATCTGTTAAACCAACACAAGGCCTCCACTGTCCCATCACATGAAATCCTAAACTCATTCAGATTACAAGGACATTATTTCATTCAATTTTACAATTTTTAGTCCTCTAATTGAAATTGGATGCATATTCTGTATATACCTTCCTCAATGTGTACAGTTAATCTGATCTTTCTATTTCTCTTGATTTTCCAATGTTTCTCCTATTGGAGGCCGCATTCATATTCTTACACCTTCATCAATGTGTACAACTGATGTGATTTTATTTCTCTTGATTTTCTGATGTTGTCCCATTGGAGGCATTTAGTATATCGCGGTAGAAGTGGACATTGACAAATACATGCTGTTAGGAGTCACACCACAAAATCCTTCTTCATTTAAGCCCCCACTTTTAGTAACAATACATTCCAATGAAATCAACAAAGGGACAAAAGATAAATCACCAAGTAAGTCTTCTTTGCTCAGAAACTAAAACACACTTTGAGCTTCTTTTTTCCATTTGCTCCCTCAACTTCTTGAAAAATGATTAACCCCAGAAAGTGAAAAAAGGAAATGAAACAAATTAAAGCACCCCAATTACAATAAATGAACGGCTTGAGCCTGTGAAATAAATGTTTAACAAGCAACAAATAGAAATTTAGCCAATGTCTTCATCTAGTAAATCTGCAATCCAGCCTAACTTCTTGTCCATTACCATTTATGCTACTCATCTTGATCATAGAATTGGCAAATGCTTTAAAGAACTCATCCTGAGAGCCAGCATACTTTGAAACTAGTGTTTTGGCCCTTGTAGTAGCGAGCAAAGATTCATCAGAAGAGAAAAGGCTCTTGCCATTCATTAGTAGCTTGTAGTAGGCATTGTCGAATAAAGTTGTAGTAGAATCCATGGTGGCACCTGCATTTTTGACCTTGTTGTGCATTGGGCAAACATTCTGTAGACTGGCTGCAAATGATGTTTGTAGTGTTGGATCAATGTCGTGACCATTGTCGAACTTGTGGATTCTATTTTGGAAGGAAGAACAATGAGAGAATCCAAGAGTGTGCCCTCCTGTTAACAAAAAAAAAAAAATTATCTTTAATTTGTTAAAGTTAATTGGTATGATGATGATACCATGAGTTGAGCTTAAATGGAGAAGTGAAGATTCATATAACCGATCCCATCTTGTTTGAGAATGAGGCATAGTTGTTGTTGTAATTTGTTAAAATAGAAAAATCTTGAGTCGTATAATCAGTCTAGGAGATATACAACATTTTTCTTCAGCCAAGAAGAGACGAAAAGAGACGGATCTAGAATTTCATATCATGAGGGGGTCTGAGCCCGCTACTATTTTATGATAGTGAATACAAGATATATATATATATATGTGTGTGTGTGTGTGTGTATGTCCACTATTTAAAAAAAAAATTTATATACTTGCCTGAAAGCGCAACCAAATCATCCAAAGAAAGGCCTCTTTGGGCGAAGTTTTGTTGCAGTTGAGAAATGTTGAATGTGGGAGAAGGTAATTGTCGGGTTTCAGTGGCTTTGGAGATTCTTCCATCTTTTCTACCTTTTGGCACATCCCAAGTAGGACCTCCGGACTGACACAAGATGACCAATAAATAATTTCACGTTAATGGAGTAGTCCTCTATAAATTTTGGCTCCTCTGTCAAAAACCTACCACTAATAAGAGATTATTTATTGTTAAATTAAATATAGAACTTACAAGAGCAACAACATCCCGAGCAGCGAGAGCCAAAATATCAGCACAAGAGACGACTCCAGGGCACAATTCCTCGATTTGTTTCTTAACAGCGTCGATGACATAGAATGCGTGCAATGCAATATTAGGGGGGCCATCTTTCTCTGCTTTGTTGTTTCTTGTGGAGTCCAGCAACACAGAGCCATCACAACCCTTTCATATACATACAAACATATATAATTAGTTAATTACTATGTATATAACTAGTGCATGTCATTAAGGGTATGAGAAGTTCAAAGTTAAAATCACATATAGGAAGAAAGACAGCACTCTTTTCGAAATTGACTAAAAAGGAAAGAGTATAACTCCTATAAAATGGAACATGCAGAGTGATTAGCTAGAAACAAAGTAGAGAAGTGGAAAATTACTCTAACGAAACAATCATGGAAGTGCATCCTTAAAAGTGCAGCAGGAACTGTTTTGTCATTCAACATAGCTTTCTTCACGACTTTGGTGATGGTCGACTCGGCCTTGGGACATGTATTGTCATAGTAATTGGAGCTCAGTGCGTTCACTGTACTACTGGAAAACAGCGCAAAAGCAAAGACTAGAGCAATAAGACATGATCTTGTTACTGACATAATAACTACTTACGTTTGCCAAATTAAGCGTGTCTTTCTTTGTGCTTATTTTAGACTTGGCACTTTGCTGTGAGACCTAAGTAACCATACAATGAGAATTTAAAGGGAAGGAATTGTAATAGATGCAGAAGACTACACATAGAGTTGTTACTGGAGTAGTAGTTGTGTTTGTTAGCAAGTTTGGTCAGCTAGAACAATAAGAGTAAATTGGAATAGGAGTAGTTTGAAGTGATCCAATGATTACTGATTTTGGTTGCCACATAGAAACTAGTAAGAAATATGCCATTGGTTATTCAAGTACATGGGATCAGTAAG